GCCACCAATTGCACACGTCGATCGGCCTCTGTCCTCCTCTAATCTCAATCGAAGAAAGAAGAGACGGACCTCTCGCCCCGTCGCTGGCTCCGCTCATCGGATGTTCCCCACCACCTCGCTCGCCGCCGGTCGAATCGTCAGGAAGAAGGTAGGTGCGAGGAAGACGATGCGCGCGTTGGGTCGTTCAATCACTCGTCAACGTGTGTCTATGCGTCAGTAACCAAAAGCAGCGCGCGTTGGGTCGTTCGTGTAGCACTGTAGCTCCCGCGTGGCGGTGCCGTCCGGAACGGTCACCGCGATGCTGCTGAAGTGCTGATGCACGCACGCCGTGTGCCAATCCTGTGCCGGCTTTATGCGACCACGCGGCCACACCGACTGCCGTGGCCCGTGAATGCTGGACCCGGTTCGCTGGACCGGACCCTCTGGCTTCTGCTTTCTATGGACCAGGCGACCAGCGCTGACAGAGGCGGATCAGCACTCCTCGAAAGCTGTGCGCGCTCGTCTTCTTTTCTCTATTTGTTTAGGAGGAAGGAGATAGTACATGCACTTTGTTTGTGATTATTATTTCCTCGAATGTACATGCACTTTCTCAAATAATTTTGGCAAATTTTGGGTGAAAAATTGGGAAACCGACGAGTCTCGAGCTGATTGACTTGCCAGTAATTTATAAAAGAAAATCCCCACGAGCACGCGACCCGGTACAGTGGATTCGCAATAATCACGTCAATGAAATCACGCCCCTGTGCTAGTTAATGACAGATTGACAGTTAACACGAGGTGCTTGAGAGCTGGCTGGCTGCAAAGTGCAAACAACGGATACGGACTCCACTCGCAAACCGGCCAATGATGAAGCCCACCACCACCACCACCACCCTGGAGCTCAGCTTCCAGAAAGACGGCGCCGACAAGCCTGATGGCGGCACAGGTGGCGTGCTCTGGCCGTCGCGGATCTGCTACCTCGTCGTTGCCGCCACCACTTTGTGGGCCGTGGCGTCCATCTTGTTCCCGCCGTCGGCGTTCCCCCTTCCTACCCTGATGTCCAGCGTCACCGTCGGCCAGCACCCCCCTGCTTCGCACGGGCCGCCGCCGTCGGAGTCGGAGGACAACCGGACCAACGTGACCGCCGACCGTTGCGCGGGCGGTACATCTACGTGTACCGCCTGCCGCCGCGCTTCAACGACGACATCGTCCGCGGCTGCCGCGCGCTCCGCCCGTGGATGGACATGTGCCCGTACATGGCCAACTGCGGCCTGGGCCGCCCGCTGCGCGACGAGGGCGGCGTCGTCTTCCCGGGCCGCGGCTGGTACGCCACCGACCAGTTCATGCTCGACGTCATCTTCCGCTGCCGGATGAGGCGCTACGACTGCCACACCGGCGACCCCGCCCGCGCGTCCGCCATCTTCGTGCCGGCCTACGCCAGCCTGGACGGCGGGCGGTACCTCTGGAACAGCACCGCGACGCGGGACGCGCTGGCGCTCGACCTCGTCGCGTGGCTGGCGCGGCGCCCGGAGTGGCGCGCCACGGGCGGGCGCGACCACTTCCTGGTGGCCGGCCGGACCGCGTGGGACTTCCTGAGGAAGACCGACGGCGACGACGACTGGGGCACGAAACTGCTCAACATCCCGGCCGTCCGCAACATGACGGCGCTCGTCCTGGAGATCGACCCGTGGAACCGGTCCAACCACCTCGCGGTGCCTTACCCGACCAACTTCCACCCGGCCACGGCCGCCGACGTGCGCGCCTGGCAGGAGAAGGCGCGCGCGTTGGAGCGCAGGTGGCTCTTCTCGTTCGTCGGCGCGGCGCGGCCCGGCAGCAACAAGACCGTCCGCGCGCAGATTCTCCAGCAGTGCGGCGCGTCGAGCCGCTGCGGGATGTTCCGGTGCAAGAAGGGGGCCGAGTGCGAGGCCGCGCCGGGCGCCATGATGCGCGTCTTCGAGAGCTCGAGCTTCTGCCTCCAGCCGCGCGGCGACACGACGACGCGGCGGTCCACGTTCGACGCCGTCCTGGCCGGGTGCATCCCGGTGTTCTTCCACCCCGACTCGGCGTACACGCAGTACGCGGACCACATCCCGGCGGAGCCCGAGAGGTGGTCGGTGCTCATCATGCACACCGACGTCACGGACCGGAACGTGAGCATCGAGGAGACGCTCGGCAAGATCCCGCCGGCGGCGGTGAAGGCGATGCGCGAGGAGGTGATCCGGCTCATCCCGAGCTTGGTGTACGCGGACCCGAGGTCGACGCGTGTGGACTTCAAGGACGCTTTCGACATTGCAGTGGACGTCGTCCTTGATCGGGTGGCCAAGCGGCGGCGAGGGGATGTCGACGGACGCTGATGGACCGGTGGCCGGCCGATTAGGAGGAAATTGAATGGCCTCGGCGTCTGGGCTCCGCCACCGCCACGTGAAAACCTTCCTCGATCGCGACGGTGCGCGCTCGTACCTAGACTAGGAGCATTTGAATGGGATTCTGGGAGTCTTCAACGCCTGTCTCTTCAGTTTAGGATCGTGTGCACGGTGCACTTCAGCACGTATATAGCTACGGTGCGACATGGCTATCCGCGGCGTAGTGGCGCGCTCGGAGCAGCCCTGGGCATTCCTTCGTTTTTCTTTCTTTACCTCGGTCAGGTTTTGTTGTTCATTCAAAACAAAAAAGGGTGATGCTGATATAAGTAATATTACACTTGCCTGCAATCTGAAATTTGAAATCTTCTCGCCCCTGATCGTCTTGGCTGAAGCCGCCACGGATGCTGACCCTATCCCGCCGCAACACAATTGGAAGACCAAAGTTACTGTACTTTTGAAGTTCTAATCTTTCCATGGATGATATGCCATCACAGATCAGTGCCCTGAAATTCTAAGAACTACAAATTATGTGAAAAAGAGGAGACCATTAATCATCTGCTATTTCAATGTCCTCAGGCAGTGGTGATCTGGTGTTAGAGATGCTTTCAAAGATGCTTTGGGGTGCGGGGAGAAATCAAACCTCATTAGCAGATTTTGAAGGGAAATTCATGGAAATGGCTGGAAGCAAAACGAACTGGAGATTGTATCTGTCCGCCGGAATTGGGTTCTCCTGTAGCCTGAACTTGACGGAGGACAGGCCACGGAAGCTGCTCCAGTGTGTGGCGGCTTGGTGGTGCTAAGTCCCTCATCTCTACAGTCCTGTGAGGCTTGCGGTGTTGCTTAGATTGCACGCTTAATCATTGACCAAAGTAAATTGTGGCATTAAATTCAGATTTAATAGCCACATCAAACGACCAAATTCACATGACAAAAGTCATGAATGCCAAATATTTGACTCGTCAAAATCTACAACATGGTTCACACCGTTATTACATACACTGAAGTTTCGTATATTTTGTTCTGGCCTCCACAGAAGTTCCGCGGTTGAGCACGGAAATTTTGTGTTTGAGTGTGGAACTTCTGCACTTGAATTGTTAATAGTTTGAAAAAGGGGGAACGACATAAATACCCTATCCCCTTCTTCCCCTATGGCCATTTCTGCATTCACTTTCCACCAACACGAAAACAAGTCTCTCTCTCACCATATATTGAAGGCTCCCCTAACCTCCCCTCTTGATTCTTTGTGAAACCCTTTGAGAGATTGGGATTAGAGAGCTTGTGAGCAATAGATCTAGCTTTTGAGCACTTGGTTCATCTCGTAGCTGTAGATTTGTATTTTTTTACTCTTGGAGCTTGGCTCCGTATCATCTTCAAGAAGCTCGTGGAACCCTCAAGTTTGAGCTTTGTGACTCGCTTGAGAAGAGGATAGGGTTAGAAGATACCCAATGCAAAGTCTTTGTGGCTTTCTCAACATCGAGAACATAGACAAGCCTTTCATGGCTCCAATGAACCCTGGGTTAAATCTTGTGTCTTGCCCCTTTGGTGTTGTTGTTGTTATTGTTGTGGTGCTCACTCTTGTTTGAATTCAATTCTAGGGTTTACACCTAATGTACTTGTATAGTAAGTTGTGGTTGTAGGTCTGTGGTGCAAAAGGAAGATCATACTAATGGGAGGCTTGGTATTTAACTCAATGTAAGTTTCAATTATATCAGTTCCAAGATAGGATGCGCGGAACTTCCGCAGATTTGCACAAAACTTCCGCATCCACATGAATCCACGGAACCTCCACATACTGCTAATTTGTTGCATTGACGAGTTTTAAAGTTTTTACAGGCCTATTCACCTTCATCTAGGCCTTGCCTAATCCTTTCACATATATCCCGTTAGCGAATGATAGAAGTGTACTCCTCCATTCTAAATTATAAGACATTTTGATTTTTCTAGATACGTAGTTTTTATTAACTATACACTTAGATATACACTACGTGTGAATATCCACTAAAAACAATTATATCTAAAAAGGTCAAAACGTCTTATAGTTTGAAACTATTTTGCGAGTGAGTGCTTGTACGAGGAGGTTGTGTGTGTCGGTGATGAGTATTTCAGAGAGTGTGTACTGAAATTAAAAAAAGGACCTAACACCTACTTGGACGCCACCTACGCGCTGCCCACCTTCAAGTGTTCTAATAAAATCTGTTGGCGGTGGATCGCGCTTTGGATCGCGTACCACGGCTGACATCCACCAGCATTCTATATATTAGTGAAATCTGCTGGGATAGATCTAGCTATGGACACGTCACCTAGATCATGAACATTAGACAATCCTAATCTTTCGTATTTTCGTACCAACACAGCCGGAGGAACGCACAGTACTGATGGCGCACATTTGATTATCAGCAAAAAAGTTGGCACATAGACACATAGTATTCGGTTTACAGCTGCTGTTGGGTCATGACTGATAAACCATGGTTACATTCTAATGAATTGCGCTCCAGGGTGTGGATAGAGTAGTGAACAGTCGTGTATTATGGATCTAAATCGCGTATATTTTTGCCTACTCGCAACCTTATTAACATATGAACCAAACAGCAGAAAACTACATGCATGAACAGATGACACACAAGGCACTTGACGAGTTGACGACGCCGACGATGCGTCTCAGTGCTCCTGGCCAGCGGCCGCGCTCCGGCGCCGCTTAGCCACCCGATCAATGACAGCCTCCAACGCTATATCGAACGCGTCCTTGAAATCCACGCGCGTTGCTCTCGGGTCCGCGTACACCACCCTCGGAATGAGCCGGATCACCTCCTCGCGCATGGCCTTCACCGCCGCCGGCGAGATCTTGCTCAGCGTCTCCTCGATGCTGACGTTCCGGCGGGTCACGTCGGTGTGCATGATGAGCACCGAGTACTTGTTGGGGTCGCTCGGGAAGTGCAGCGTGTACTGCGTGTACGCCGAGCCGGGGTGGAAGAACACCGGGATGCAGCCGGCCAGGATGGCGTCGAACGTCGACCGCCGCGTCAGGGTGTCCCCGCGCGGCTCCAGGCAGAAGTCGGAGCCCTCGAAGACGCGCGTGGCGCCGCCCGGCCAGTAGCAGCTGGCCCCGCTGCCGCAGTCGAAGAGGTTGCAGCGGCTTGACGCGCCGCACTGCTGGATGATCTCCGCGCGGATGGTCTTCTTGCTCCCAGGCCGAGGCGCGCCGGCGAACGAGAAGAGCCATTTGCGCTCCGCCTTGCGCATCTTGTCTTGCCAGGCAACCACGTCGGCGGCCGTCTCCGGGTGGAAGTACGTCGGGTATGGTATCGCGAGGCTGCTCCAGCTCTGCATCATCTCGTTCCCAAAACCGCTACGGTTCCAGGGACTCGTCTCCAGGATGAGCGCCGTCATGTTTCGGATGGCGGGGAAGCTGAGCAGCTTGTTGCCCCATTCCTCGTCGACATCAGCCTTCCGCTCGAGTTCCCACGAGGTCCGCCCGGCCACCATGAAGTGGTCGCGGCCGCCCATGGCGCGCCACTCCGGACGCTGCACCAGCCAGTCGACGAGGTCCAGCGCGAGCGCGTCCCGCGTCGACGTGCTGTTGAAGAAGTACCTCCCGGCGTCCAGGGCGGCGTAGAACGGCACGTACACGGCGGTGGTGAGGGAGGAGTCGCCGGTGAGGCACTCGTAGCGCTTCATCCGGCAGTGGGAGATGACGTCGAGCATGAACTGGTCGGTGGCGAACCAGCCGCGGGCGGAGAAGACGCCTCCCTCGTCGCCCAGGGGCTGGCCCATGCCGCAGTTGGCCAGGTACGAGCACATGTCCGTCCACGGCGAAAGCTTGCGGCAGCCACGGACGAGGTCCTCGTTGAAGCGCGGTGGCAGGTCGTACATGTAAATGTACCGTCCCGCACAATGATCCGCCGCCGGTGCTACCACTGACCGGTTCTCCGGCGCCACCGACGCCGGCGGTTGCTCCGATGGAGGGCGACGGCGGCTGACGGGGATGCTGCTGGACAGCTTGGGATGGGACAGCGCTGATGCCTTGAACAACTTAGATACCATGCCGCCGCCCCCTTGCATGCCGGAGTGCAAACAGAACACCAAGGCCCAGAAGGCGGTAGATATAATGACGAGGTGGCATATCTGGGACGGCCGTAGCACACCGCTACCGCCAGCATCGTGCTTGTTGGCGGCGTCCATGCGTGGCATTGTTTTGGAAGTTTGCAGAGAAGGTGTGTTAACACAGCAGGTCGTCGTAGCGGGTAGTAGAAGAGAGAATGGGGAAACGACTAGAAGAACAGCATGGGAATGGGATCCAAGAACAGAGAAAGGCTTAGGTTGTTGGCATAACAAGTCACGCACTCCTCTTAAGGATTACAACTGTGCTGCTAGCAAGCGACAGCCACGCACACGGCTCGTTCACCCACTCAGAGTCAGGTCCATAGATGCGCGTATTGCTCTTGCTCCCCCCTCGGCCTCGGCCGCGTACTGGAAGCTGGCAGGGGCAAAAAAATTCTCTGCGTACTTCGTAGGCCCAACATCAGGAATGCCTTCCACTTCTTCATCTGAACTTCATCCATATATGTACTGATGATTGCTACTACGTAATAAGACCCTAGGAATTACATTGTTGAGCAGCGACAAGCTCATCATGTATAGCTCTCATGTTAACAAGAGTATTATCCCACAGAAGAAAAATTAATAAGATAACAAATATATGGCTCTGTCATTTGCGCAATAGGCTATGTTTGCACAGACTGAAGCAGTGCTGTAACTGGCAGCCAACGGCAAAGCGCTAGGACTGTTTTTTTAAAAATAATGGTAAATCACATGACTTATGTCAACTTCGATTCTGGAATTTCCTTTGTGATCAACGTGCCAGATGGACACAAAGCTCGTACCAATTGCACAGCAGGAGGGCTTTCAGTCCAACTGCACCAAAAAACAAAGTCAAAATTCTGAATGAGAAAGATGTGATGGAGACCTTATATTCACCAAAGGCTACATTACACCAAGGCCAGCAGGCAACCTAGAATTTTAACACGTCTCTTTAGGTACTCTGGCTTCACCATCTGTAACCAAATCATCATCGCCATTGCTGTTCAAGTGCATAAAAACGAATAAATCAAACAAGTCTATATAACCATGCATGCTATTCTAGCTAGCAAGTATACGATTCAACAAAGATCAAAATAAACTTGACAATTTGAACAAACTCACCTTGACTGAGCAGCGCATTGCAGTGAGGGTGAGTCGATTTGCATTGTCACGGGGCCATCATTCACCAAAGAAACCTGCAATAGTTTCCAATTTACCCTTTTTTCTGAAAAAGGTCAAACGCTATGAAGGCAAATAACATGTTTCACTCAGACACCTTCATCATCGCTCCAAAAACGCCATCTTCCCATCAAAGTAGGAACATCGTCACATTTATTTTCATGCGATACAGTGACTCATGGCAGAAATGTTTAGATGTAGATGGAACGTAGTGCAAGAGCAATAGTAGCAACACCTGCAGTAACAAGTGCAAGATCGTGTATTATGAGTATGGGGAGCATAGACATACTCATGGCAATATTCAGCAAAATAAACAAGTGAGCAGAACATCTGCAAAACATCACTAAAGAAATAGGTATATTATCGGTATAACATAACAGGAGTGACTATCCAGAAGATGAAATGCACATCCAGCAGAAAAGAATGTTCAATACAGGACCACGGGGAGTCGGGGAGCATGGGAAAGTTACAACGAATGCATCATTCATGACAGGCAAATCCCAATATAGGCAGATCCATGTTAACAGAAGGAAAAGGAACATTGATTTGATAATCAAGAATTCAGGTTGGTAAACTGTGTATATCTTTTACCTTTCACTGAATCAGCCGACTATGACCTTTGAATTTTCTCGATTAGAGAAGCATAGAATGGTTTCGCTTTTGCAGGTGGCATAGCCACATGAAAATCTGGCTTATTACCCTTCAGGATGCCATATAAGGTGAACTGACTGATCGAATAAGATATCAGATTAGAAACGGAGTAGTTAATAACAGATTTAATGGAGTCTGTTTACATTTTACACATGGGCAAGGTTGCATCATCATATTACCTAATAGCACTTCAAAGTTACGCTGCATAACCTGCAGGGAGGAAAAAGCTTGTTTGTCTTCAAAGCTCATATAAAGTGCAGGAAATAATTAACATTCTCAAGTAGGCCAACTTTATTCTATTAGGCCAAGATGGATCTAAGGCTTACACTTTGATTCCATGCTTTTCCAGTATTGTCGTTTGAAAACAGCCTCATGTTCAGGACCTTCTGACAACTAGGCCTGTTTGGTATAGCTTATAAGCTATTTATGACTGAAATAAGCTTAAGTCAACAGCAAAACGTCATACTTTTCTGCAGCTTATTCTGGCCACACTTATTCTCACCGCTCCCATTTATACTAAAAGCAGAAGCTAGATCACACCAACTTATTTTGACCGTTGTTTTTACTCTATTTGTATAGCTTATCAGCTGGGAAGCGCTTCCCATATAAGCTTCCCATATCTACTCGATAAGCAAATAGATACATTTTAATCTAGTCCTCTCCTCTAAGATCTGCAAGCCTCACACTCTCTTTCTCTTATCTCATATCTATGGGCTTAGAGATGGGCGATAGCAGCAGAAGATCTCCATTGAAGGAGGTGGATGGCTGCCCCGGAAGGGCCATGATTCGTCGAGGATGATGGTGGCGACGGATCTCCTTTGGAGGCGGTGGCATGGGCAAGGAAGGCCAACAGGCTTGGAGTGGGCTCAAAGGTGGGCTTGGTGGCAGGGCTTAGCTGTTGGGTGCCATTTTTTCCTTGATTTACAGTGGCGGACATTCTCACCTGTCTCTGGAGTTCTTGATTAACAACGATATTGTGCTGGAGCATAGAGGTGAGTGGACATCCCGCCTCTGAAAACCAAATATGACCGCTTCTTAAAACCTTTTTAGAGCGAGTATAGTAAAGGATTGTAAGTAGGCTATATGAGGTGGAGGAGAAAGAGGAGAAACATGATGTAAGTCTACAACTGTTTTAGACATAAGAACCAAGAAACTTTGTGAGAGAGACAAGTGGACCATGGATGGTAAAGATCCTACTCTTAATCCTCTTATTATGCAGTAGGGTTTTAACCTTGTCCACCACCTCGTATTGTCCAACTTCCTTGATAAATGAGCTTCATTAATTCCTCGGAAGAAGTTATACTTATATTGTCCACCGCCTCCCCTGACGAGCATGAGCACAAGCGGCTGGCGCGCCGTTCCGCCGCTCGTGCCACCATACGTCCGCCTCCCCAGACGAGCACGGCGGTCACAGGCACGAGCACGAGCGCCTCCAAACCTCCGCCTCCCCTGATGAGCACGAGCACGAGCACTCCACCGCTTCGCCTCCACACAGATCCGCTTCACCCACCCACCACTCCGCAAGGCTGATAGGTTCATGGGTTTCGGGGAACCCGTGCCCGAGCGTGCCGTAAAAGCCGTGGAGTACTGCACATGTTTTTCTTCTGTCAACAATATTATAGTGGTAGTAAACTAAACATGAGGTTAGGGTAGACCTTGCGAGTAGCTGAGAACGGCTACTTTTATTTGTGGTGGAGTACTCCTATCTGCACATATCGGCCTACCGCTCCTTCCCCCTTGGCCCCCTCCTCTCTCTTCGCGACCGCGAGTATGGACGCCCACGCGCTCGCGAGGAACACCGCGCCCGCCGCTCCTTCCCCCTGACCCCCCTCCTCTATCTCTGGGCGGGCGGGGCCCAAGAGCCGGCATGAGGACGAGCACGCCCCGTCTATAGGATCCTAGGTGCGTTGCGCGCCCTGACCGTTGGCCCACAGATCATCGCGCCCTATCCCCGGCGCCCAGGCTGTGCCCCCTGACGCTCTACCTCTGCAACATGAAACACTTGGTGCAACATACAACTGAAGCAGATGAAACATTTGGAACGTACAATTGCAACATGTGTGTGAAACATACGCAACATGAAAACAGTTATTGCAACATAAGACTAAAACAGCTGAAACATTTCGAACATACTATTTGCAACATAGGTGTGAAACATGTGTAACATCCAGATAAAAAAACGCTTGCAACATACGTCTGAAACAGATGAAACATTTTGAACAAACGCTTGCAACATGTCTCTGAAACATTTGCAACATGCCTCTGAAACACTTGCAACATATGCAACATCCCGATCTACTTTTGCAATATCCATACGAAACATCTGCAACATACATCTGAAACACTTACATTTGCAACATATGGGAGGGGAGGTCGAGATTGGTTGATTCCGGCATCGAGGCGCGAGCACCACCAGCATGGGTCGCGCTCATGGGTGCCCTTGGCTCGGCCGGGGACCAACCTGAGGTGCGTGACGGCACCACGAGCATTAGCAGAGGCGGGCGACGCGCCCGACGGCGCAAGAGCGAGCGGCGCGGGTGGGCGCGCCCGACTGGCAGGAGCAAAAAAGCGAACAACACAGGGTGGGCGTGTGGGGGGAGTTGGCTGCGGCGGCAAATGCGGAGTGAGGCGGACGGATGGCCACACGGCGCCGTGAAACGTGCAATGGGCGTGGTAGATATTTTTATAAGAGAGATGTGGAAGACGTAAAGAAGAGGAGGCAGGCTTGATGGGCCGCGTAGGCCCAGGAAGGCGGCATCGGATCAAACGGACCGCCTGTGAGCATCCCTTAAGTATATGGTCTGGGTCGATTTTAACCTTGTTCCACCACCACCTATTGTCTAACTTCCTTGATAATTGGGCTTCATTAATTCCTCGGGAGAAGTTATTCAGCCTGTTCGCTTGTTGGTTTTAGCTATAGCTTATCAGCCATAGTATAATATTTTTCTCTCACAACAAACCAGCACCAGTCGGGCTTATCAGTCCAGAAACCAACTAGCGAACAGGCTGATTATAGTCGAACTGTGGTGAGTAGCAACTTTCCGGTTGACTTGCTACCTTTGCCAACTAAACAGAGCGATCGATCGTCATTTGTACTATTGAATAATCTATTGTAATTGGAACATGGAACCCAAAGCTTTGAAATAGTCAAGCTTCTAACATTCCTTTTTTACGAGTAATAGTGTCTGACGGATGATAAAAGACACGTGGGCACCCAAGGCGAGCCGTGGAGTACTGTGCATGTTTCTCGTTCCAGAGTGCTGAGGCTGAATATCGAGCCGTTGCTAATGCTGTAGCTGAAATCTCATGGCTTCGGCAATTACTTTAGGAGCTCTATTTGTGTCCTCGGCGCTCCTCAGTGGTTTTTTTTATAACGTTAGCGCTGTTTATCTCTCAACCAATCCGGTGCAACATCAGCGCACCAAACATGTTGAGATTAATTTACATTTTGTCCGGGACAAGGTTGCTACCGGAGAGATACACGTTCTTCATGTGCCATCCACCTCCCAGTATGCGGATGTGTTCACCAAGGGTCTTCCTATATCCATTTTTACATAGTTTTGCTCCAATTTGAATGTCTCCACTCCATGCTAGTGTCGACGTTCCAACTGCGGAGGTGTTAGAATATAAGTGTTTGATTAGTTAGACTCTTTGTTTTCATATTCCCTCTATCCTTTCATATCCCCATGTATTTCTATATAAACACATCTTGAGATTAATTGAAAACTGAGTTGAATTATTCTCCAATAGCGAGATTTGCATTTTTTCTGGGACTTTGGGAGTAGCTTAACGGCACAAGATTTTTTTTATATAAAAGGCACAGATGTGGATGCTGCCTCCTCTCTCCTCATGGCTGAAGCTGCTCTCTTGTGCAAAAGTGGCATATCTACTGCACCTCCAACTCTCCAAGAGGTCAGCCAGACAGTGCGATTATGGTGAGATTTCTGATTGCTCAATTCAGATGATCTGTCCAAGCTACCACATTGGAGTATTGGACCATCAAGCACCTCACCACTGAGCTCCAACGCCTCAACATGAATATCCGACACATGACTCACATGACTCACAAGATTGACAGATTCTCCAATGTTACACTCTCTAGCTAGACAGGCCACAGAATGACTCACTTGTCATCAGGTGTTAGTTTCTCTTGTAGAACCTTCGACATTTTCTCAGTGTCCTGTTTTGATGGCACTGCAATCTGTACCCTTGGGATCTGATGGATCTCCTCCATGTATTGTGTTCGTAAGTTCAAGTTCCATCTCCATGGCACAAGCAAGCAAACACTGGAACACAAAGCTAGCTAGAAATGCAAGGCCACGGCCCACAAGCGCCTCTCACGGCTGTAGTCTACGTTGGAACTTGGAAGATGGCAAGATGCAGTGATTTCTTTTCTTTCAGATATTACACGTGATGTAAATTGTGATACCAATCAAAGGAGGAGCGTACCAAACTTTGCCGCCGCCTCCCATCATTTCTCGATCGAATCGATTTCGAACGGCTTTGGTGCAAAGTGGCAAATTAGTCTGTTCCCATTGCAGCCATGAATGTAAACCCGGTTTCAAGGGGCCCATTACGACGAACACGGGCTGTTAGATGAGCCCATCAGCGTATTGCCAAATTATTTGTCCTGAGGATCTCGTTCCACATGGGCACATGGCAGTCCATGCAAAGAGTTCGTTTTTTTTTCAGCTGTTGCCTTCCAAATTTAACTCGCTTGAAGGAATTGAACGAATCCTAGAACTGTGCCTGCCCTTGCCAAGTTGCCCTTGCCTTCCAAATTAGACTCAGCGTTATGAAATTGATGAAGCATTTGAAGCCTTGGAAGCTGATTTTGCAGCCCAATGCCATCTGATGCAATTTGCAATGCCGGCCTGCCTGAAGGTTGATGATCTGTTGAAGAGGGAAACAAATTCTTCTAAACTAACTTTCAATAAAAAATCGAAACTGCATGGCCATTGCCCATTGTGATCTTTCCTCACTAGGGCTTGATCAAGTTGTTATTACATAGCCCTACATCCAGGATGTAGGATATGATGATTTGTTAAACCAAACATCCCTAATTGATCAACGTCAATGTTAGCTTTATAATAAGTTTATAAAACACTTTTTTTCAATAACGCGCTTAAGCGTGTTTTTCATTAAGATCTTTTTTTTGATGCACGTGTATTCACTCCAATCCACATGTGTTGGAGTGGAGATTAGAATGGAACTTAGTTTAATTCAACTTCAATCCACTTCAACACATATGGATTGAAATAAATACATGCGTATCCAAACAAAGCCTAAGAAGAGTGGAAAAGTTTTAAAACTACAACGTCACCTGCAAACCCGCCAGCGATGGGCCAACGACGGATGCAGTGACAAAGAAACGAAACAAAACACACATGTGCACTGCAGCGTGCCGACGCTCGTGGCAGACGCTACGGGCCTGTTTGGTCGGGTGGCCAACTCCCAACCAGGCTCAAGTAATCCACCTTCGTGTTGTTTCATTGCCTGAGCCAGGCTGCGGGAAACCACCCACACTCCTCTAGCCAGGCTCCGGTCGATTTTTGGGAGCCAGGCTTGGCTTAGCTCCGGTCCCGTTCTCCTCACCTCCGCGCGCGGGACCTCCAGAACGCGCTCCGCAGGGAGGCGAACGACGCCGACTCGTCCGGCGCCCTCGCGTCCCACCTCAGCCGCCGCCCGCTGCCGCCGCCGAGGACCAGTAGCGGGCTCCCTTCTCCGCGTTTTTGTTCTACGGTAGATCATGAATGAGGTCGTGTCTTCCTCTGTTGTTGCTGCCTCACGATCCATGGCAGCGCACGCTATGTGTTTGTGGAAATGCCGCAATGTTGGTAATTGACTCAAAGTGTTGCTACCTCGAGACGCATTGTTGATTGAGACTGTAAAATGCTTCGCGTTTTAGATTGATCAATTAATACTCCTTTTACTTCCAAAAAAGAAAAAAAAATCTGTGTGCAAGTGCAAGGTTGAAACGATCCTTGTCTTCGACCAAGTGCTTTCTTTCCTGGCCGCCATGGCAAATGCACATTGCATACCAGTGGCGTGTGTTGTGTTTGATAAAGAAGGTTTGTGGAGGCCTGAAAAAAAGTTCAGAGGGCAGTTCAGGTCTCTAGAGAAGCCTGTTACCACGCCATTCCATTCCCTTATGTCTATCTTCTGATTACTGAAAAGATAGCTCGTGCTTTCTTGCTCGGTAGATTGGATTTGTGAAACTCTTGTGGTCTCATTCAGTTCGATTTCTCTGATTCGTTGGGTACGACCTGCATTAACTTGCACCGATCGATGCGTACCTGGAGCGCGCCATGTGCCACTTGTTCGTCAAAATGCCTCAAAGGGTAACCTTACCAATTCAGAGAAGAGGTGACTATATCAAAAACAAATCAGGCAACCAAACACATCATGGGGCTAGCCAGGCTTAGACAGCACAAACAGCCAGGGATTGGCTTGGTAGGAGCAGGCTAAGGCTAGAAGTTGGTCAGGAAACCAAACACACCCTACATTGCACTCAAATTTGCAACCTTCTTAAGCATCCTGATCACGTCATTCCGGCGCCCGAACGATGAAGGGCAATAGTGCCGCGAAGCCAGCTTGGATCCACGCATAGCCCTCTTGGATCACGACGTCCACCAGGTTTGTGGGAGTAATGCTGACTCTGTTGAAGATGCGCCTGTTTCACTCTTTCCAGGTCGACTTCCCAGGAGACGAGGAGCAGCAAGGAATCGAAACCTCTAGCATCAGTCTGCGGCACCAGGGTCCTTGCTCTAAACCACCATGGAAGGAGCTCGTCATCTGCCGTCCAATAGAGATGTGTGTGGCGCAAGACTCGGCACCATACTTCGCGCGTGAAAACACAAGACGCGAGCAGGTGATCAGTGTTTTCGCACCCTTGAGAGCATAAAGCGCAAGAGTCTGAGGCATGCCGTTGCCGACGACCGCCGTCCAGAGCCTACCATGCAACGCTATCCAGAAGAAAAACTTCACCTTGGGCGGTGCGGCAGCCTTCCAAAGTTCCTTTGCTCCTTTGCATCGAGGTTCTGCCAATGAAGAAAGAGGACGATGCCGAGTATTCACCGTTGGCCGTCCACTTCCAGATGAAGCGGTCTAAAGCCGTTGGCTGCAATTGGATATGCTCTAGGATCTCCCATAGGCTGACATAGTCGCAGAGTACTTGGGTGGTTATGGCCCCGTGATGTCCGCTGGTGAAGGGCCTCCTTGACCGATGGTTGTCTGCGACGTCGTCCGATGGCCCTGTAGAGACTGGGCGCGAACAGGTAGATCGATCCCTGAGGCAGCCATGGATCCACCCAGAACTTTGTCGTCACGCCATCGCCCAACACAACATTCATGGAAGATTGGCACATCGATGTGACCATTTTCTCAAGCTTAAAGCCGCAAGGAGTGCATCAAGTTTCAAGGATGCTGGAGCAAGGAGTGCTTCAAATCCAAAATCTAAATAGCCATCTAAAGGCTAGCTGACTAATGAAAATTCTACATTCCCAGATCAACTTATCGAGCAACCCCAAAATGAGGGCAAGCTTCCAAAGCACAGTTTCACATCAAACTGAGGCCCCATTGTGTTAGCTTACATGATACACCAAAACGAACCCCACGAGAGGGTCCAGGGACCGAAGCTTACACCAAAGCACAGTTTCACATCATATTCGACTGAGTCCATATGAGTACTACTCTGAAAATCATACCAAAACATGAATATTAGTAACAATTTACTACAATATTAACAGAGCGTGTCCTGGGTAATATAGCGTTTTGAAAAGATACAGCACACTGGATTTTATGAACAACTGATGAACCCATCGAAACAGAGCCAGTTCCTCATTCCTCAACAAGCAGATAAACTGTATCCGCCCTAGAAGTAAGATAGGTAGTTGCGTTTACTGCATCCACGGAAGAACTATCACTGACCAGATCCTCCATGAACCGAACGAGCTGTGGATCACGCCTTTGTGGCAGCACCGGCAAACTTGCATTTGGAAAACGCAGAACATCCATAGCTTCCGCAATGGACGGTCGCTGGCTCGGTTCTGGTAGTGCGCACCAGAGACCCGTAACAAGCACATGCTCCATTTCCTTCTGGTCGAACTCGGCGTTCAGCTTTTCATCTGCTGCATCAAGAATCATGCTCTGATCATACAAACCACGTACCCAGGGTACAAGAGCGGAGGCTCCATCTGACAGCTGCCTCGATGCCCGCTTGCCACAAGCGATCTCGAGGAGGGTAACACCGAAGCTGTACACATCTGCCTCCGGGCAACGCAAGTGGTTGTTGACGAACATTGGGTCAATGTATCCACGTGTCCCTGCAATAAGTTCTGTTGTTCGTGGATCGGCTTCACGATCGAGGAGCCTTGCCGTCCCGAAGTCACCAAGCTTGGCGCTGTATGAGGCATCGAGCATGATATTTTCAGGCTTGATGTCTCCGTGTACGATGCATTTGTCGCAGCACTGATGGAGGTAGAACAAAGCAGAGCTCAAATCCAGTATAATCTTGTACCTAGCAGGGCAAAAAAGGTTGGTGATGAACTTGTCAGGCAAATTAAAAAAAGGATGGTGTACATTATTCTCGCGTACTGTTTAATGAAACTACTGAGATGATATCAGATAGACTGCTTATGCAAATTTGGGTACCTCCGTTGCCAAGATAAAATTGTACCGACACTGTAAAGATGCTTCTCAAGGCTGCCTTGAGCCATCAGTTCGTAAACGAGCAGGCGCCCTCTATTACTTCTGCACCAGCCGAGGAGCTGGACAATGTTCTTATGCCTCAGCTGGGTCATGACATTCACTTCTGACATAAACTCCCTCTGCCCTTGCCAGGACGACGGTTGTACAGATAGCTTCTTGATGGCCACAGGGCGGTTCCTCAAGATGCCCCGGTACACCGGCCCAAAACCTCCTTCCCCAATCTTGTTCTCGTCGTTGAAATTTCTGGTGGCAGACGCCAGCTCGTTGTATTGGTATTTCATATGTCCCGATACTGGTAGTTCAACTAGTTCAACTAGAGGCTCATTTTGTTGCAATCGGTTCCCACACTTGTACCAAAGCAGAACTACAGTACAGCAGAACAAGATAGCTGAAGGTATGGCAACCCACAAAATCACGGAAGCTGACAGATAAGGTCCCTCTCCCTCTGCCCCCTGTGTCTGTGTCTGGATGGTCTCGGGTTCGAGTCGTGATCTCCTCGCAAGCGAAGGTAAGGCTTGCCACTGACTCCCTTCTCCAGGCTCCGTAGAAGCGGGAGCTCTCTGCACTAGGTACGCCGCCATCTTTTTTTTTTTTTTGACAGATAAGGTCCTCTGTTCCGTTTAGCTTCTTTGTAGTCTCCTCAGAACCTTTGCCTGATTGGTCACTCTTTTGATTTGAGATCCAAGGTGCCAGTGCTTTCTGATCCTTCCAAGGGCCATCAGCATCCCCTTCAGTCATTCTCGTATCAACGCCAACACTAGTTTTGTCTTCTGTATCCTGGTTAATAGCAAGTGACATCCTACCATGAGACGGATCAAAATTGTTAGACATTCTGTTGCCACCCCCCCTTCTCATGCCCAAACTAGTATTCAACACCAGATCCAGATTTATTGTACCAAAGGTGTGAGCCAAGAACACCAATCCGAGTATGCTAACAGTAACTACCAGAAACCATGGCTGCACAACTAGATGATGCTCCAGCTGAATTCAAAAACGTTAAGAAGCGTCAGTAAGGGCTTTATTAGAATTGGTTATGGATTAGGATTAGAAAAGGAAAGGCGGCCAACAGACTTACCGACTGAAACGAGCTGTCTCTGGTCTGGGGAACAGTGGCTTCATCCTTCCTTGCGAAATGCTCAATCTGGAACATGCTCTTCTTGGACTGATTCAACTGTGGGAGTGACGTCATCCTGCCAGGGCTTGGGAAAGATAACGACACAGTGATGTGCCGCAAATAGATGAGAGTAGCCATATCTCCTGGACAGGATACCTTGCAGAAAGGAACGACATTTATGGTCTGCATATGGTATAGCTTGCTAGATGTGCTTGGGAAAACCAGCTCAACAATGCCACGGGAACTGAACAGGTTAAAGGTAATATAACGTAGATGCTTCATCTGATCAATAGATGCTGGGACCGAGAACATTTGTTTATGGTAATGTCTTGTCATAACGATCAGCACCCGCAGTTTACTCAGCCTCTTGAACATGCTCTCAAAAACTTCTTCGTTGATCAAGGGGTCCTGAAGCCTTTCCTTGTGCTTCACATCTGGTGCAGAGAAATTCTTCGGATCTTGGTCGTAGGACTCGTCCACAATGATCAGGGTCCGTAAATTTACCAAGTCCAGAATTTTTTCTGTGATATCTGCTCTATTGTTGGTCCCAACAAAAAGATGGCGGACCTCTGGTGGAATGTCTTGCGGTGAGGCATTCCGAACAATTCTATAGAAGTCACTTCCACCAACCCTGTCTGCCAACTCGTGCACCAGATCATGAATTGTGACGATCTCTGTATCAAGTACATCAATTCTTTGTGCTTGCAGAAACGAGATTGACAATAATTCGTCAAAGTAGCGCTGTCCTACAGATTCCAGTTCCTCTGTTGCATTACTCCTGGTTACAAACCCTTGTGCTATCCAGATGCGAATTAACTCATCTCGTTTTAACTCGTATCCTCTGGGAAAAGTGCTGCAGAATGCAAAGCATCGCCTGATGTCAAAACTAAGTTGCTGATAGCCCCACCACAGAGCTCCCATGGTCATATTCAGCACGTCAAGTTCCGCTGCCCTCTTCCAGAAACTGATATTTTTCTCATCCTAAGTTGCGTTCCTACTGTTACTGCTGCAATAGGCGAGCGGTGTAGCTTCTTTGCAATCTTCCTCCCAAGACTTTGAAAACGTCCATCATCTGCACCTTGTAGTGCATGATGCATGAACATTGAGAAGTACTGCTCCTCATCTAAATCAGGTATTAGAATTTGCTCCTGAGCATCTAGAACTGCAGCTGCATCTTTTGTTTGAGAAGTAACCAGGATTCTGCTTCCACTCAGTGCAACACTGAGCGTATCAAGGAGAATTTTTTTGTCCTGCTGATTCTCATAATTGACCCAAAGATCATCCAGTACCAACAGAAAGCATTTGTGTTTCAATGCTTTCCCCAACTCTTCTTTTAGACTTCTAAGACTGTCATTACATGGCCGGCTATGGGTGATCTGCTCCAGCATATCACGAAATATATCACCCAGGCTGAATATCTTCCCCACATGAATGAAAATGATAGGATTGAAATGTCCGGCGCCCTTCTCAAAGTCACAAACATATCGTGCCAGGGTACTCTTCCCGGACCCTGAAATGCCATATATGCCAATCACAGAATAAGGTTTTCTTGTACTGCAGCTTGGTTCATAAGCGTCTGATCCCTCACGAAGCATTCTACATATATGGTCACGCTCCTTGTGTCGACCAAATATCACCCGTTCAATGTTCATGTACAAGTTATGAATCTCCTTCTGCCTGCTGCTGTTTCCCTTGATAGTATCCACGACTGGAATTTCACTGCTGCTGCTTTGTTGACTCAACAGATGTGATGTCTTCAAGGCATGGACAATATCTTCTATCTTCTCGATTCTTTTCCTCAAGCTCTTTTTGTCAATAGTAGATAAGAAATACTCTACTGCAATGTCATTCATCTGCAAGGAAAAAGCCAGTCTCAAATGATTGTCCTATCCACATATTTGACTAGTACACGCATGTAGTACTCATTTCAACCTACGTGCCATCATAGAACGTGTGCAATCAACTTTTTACAAATGACTACCCCAATAAGTGTTCATCAGATAGGTTGTATCAAATGAAAAATGATAATCAGTAGTGCTACAATGATTAACTGTACTAATCCCACATTAATTGAAGAACATAACCACAAATGATCACATTATTATGAGGAATAGAGAACATCTTGATTGCCCTTTTCCAGATTCTTTAAAATAAAGGCTTGGATCCACTTAACTTTGATAGAGTTCTGTCATCACCTCATCTTCGTTATATCCTCATTATCTTTCCTGTTCCTATCTAGGTCTATAGGGTGTTCGCAGAGGATCAGACATTACCTGGTTACTTTTTATGCCAACAACTTCAGATGACCAGCCCAGGCAAAAACGAGCAATGGCAGTTGCATTGGCTGACCAGTTGAGTATGGATTGGCAACAGTTGCTGAAGTTGAAGACAAGCCTGGACCAGCCACTGTGGCTTTGTAGCGTGGGAATGGAGGGTGCGTTGGAAACTGGTAGCACGGAACCACTTGATTTGCGGAGAGTGTCACCCACGAACCGCAAGCACCGCAGAAGCAGAGCTCGGCTGAGGACTTCGCATCGTCCAAACCTGGTGCCTCTGCCTCTGTTGACTCTTTCCGCGATGCGGTGATAATCGATGAGGTCCAGGATGTCTTCTGCTTCCTCCAAGGCAGATCTGAGATCAGTTGTAAATTTATAGAGCATCATCAAATCAGCTTGAGATCCCTCTCCTATAGATCTCATCGTCCTCTGCTTCTCTACATCTGTCAGCAAATCCTTCAGTATTGGAACGGTGGAAGACTCCAGCTCCCGGAGCTTTCTTGGTGCGTCAAAGCTAAGGTCGAAAAACAATCCGCTCAGGAACTTGATGATACTAGGAACCAGGAACCAACCTAACACAGCTAAGCACCATGCGATGCCTGCTTGCACCCATGTAAATCCCCATGGATTAGCCATGAAGTGCTTTTCGAGGAGGAGAGAGTGGGCTGGAAGAAGGAAGGATGGATGTACTATGCTAGTAGGTCTTGTTAACAGTATGCTAGTATGTTGCCTCTTGATAACGCGGTGTCGTGTAGACTTTACAGCGGAAGGCACTTCTTCGCAATTTCTGACGAGCCAAAAGGATGAAATAAGCGCGTGTTCAGTTCCAACTAAAATTCTAAAAAATGCTACAGTATTTATCACATCGAATGGCTCATGTATGAAGCATTAAATATAGACCAAAAAAAACTAATTGCACAGTTTGATGGGAAATTACGAGACGAACGTTTTGAGCCTAATTAGTCCACGTTTGAACACTAATTGCCAAATAAAAACGAAAGTGCTACAGTATCCCAAAATTCCAACTTCCTGGACCTAAACACGCTCTAATAAGGCCACAACTTACTCTCTGCTATCCCCACCCATCTTTTATGTCCTTACAGCTAGCAGCGGGCGCTCAGTATAGGGCCCGTTTAGATTGCAAAAAAATTTGGCCCAGCCCAAAAAATTTTGAGTTTGGGCTTTTTGGAACTAAACGGCAGCCAAAATTTTTTGGATCGGTACTGGTCACGGTGGTGTGTTCGGACCGGCACTCGTTTCGGGTTTGGGAGGCGTGAAGGCCACTGGTACCCGCACCCACCCTTATCCATTCATCACGCTCGGCCGACACTGCCCCTCTATCCCTCGCTCTCATCCACTCTCGAACCCTAGCCCCCCGCCGTCGGTCACTCCCTCCCACCGCCGCTGATCTCCCGCCATCCCAACGCCGCCGCGCAGATCCACGAGCTACACCACTAGATCCACTCGTCATTGAGTCCGGATCGAGACCACCACCAGCGTTCGGTGATGGAAGGACACGACGGCGACGACATGAACGGCGGCGGCTACAATGGCGACCACGGCATCGACGGCGCCGGCCACGGCAACGACGCGCGCACCAGGGATTTCCTAGCGCCTGGTAATCCCTGGGGCCATGCCGGCGATAGCGGCCTCTTCCTCGACGCGGCGCAAACCTTCTCAGGTTCAAGCAGATTCAACCAGTCCCGGCTGGGGTTGGAGTCGCTGGATCTCAACGCCGGCGAGGGCGGCCGCAGATGCTTGAGCCTCGCGGGCTACATTCGGGGACAACGAGGTCCCCCATGGCTCCCACCCCATCCGCGTGACTTCCCGCAACAGTGTGCGCAACCTCGGGTCAAACACTTCCATCGCCGGCGGAGGAACATCTGTTGGAGGCGGCATGGGTGCAACATCCGTTGGCGGCGGCTTCGTCCCTCCTCTGTCTCCTCCACGGGAGGTCTTTGGTGGCCGTCGCTTGAGGGGCATGATCTTGGCGTGTGTACGGTGGGCAGGGCCAGCCATTCTTGATGACAACTTCAATGAGGACGACAACACTCACGGCCCACGAGTCTCGGTACAAATTCCACTCCCTTTCTCCTTGATCTTCTGTTTACTAGTAGATCTGGTGAGTTACATGCATGTGTCTAGGGTGCTATATGTATTATTTAGTTGATCTTGCTATGAGTTTTGTGTGATACAAATTTAAGCTACTACAGTTGTAGATATTCATGAACCTAGCTTAAGTGTTTACCAAATGGTTTAATCTCTGTACATGTCGTGAACTGAAACAAGCATCATTTAGGCTATGAAACACAAGGCCAACTGGACTGTACCGAACACTAAGAAGTTTTGTGACATATGGTGCCATGAAATTGCCATTGGCAATTGTACCAAGGGAGTCATGAGCAAGACTGGCTGGAGGGACCTCATAAGGAGGTACCAAGCAAAGAATGAGTTTGGTCCATGACAGGGAGCGATTCTTTGGTAGGCTAAAGGCAAATTGAAGGCCCAATGGGCATTCTGTAACAAGCTCCGCTACGCCTCTGGCTTAGGCCGTAGCGATGATGGAACTGTTGATGCCACTGATGCATGGTGGAAAGCAAATACCAACGTAAATGATCTATCTATCTCTTCTGAGTTTCAGCACTAACTAAGTACAACACTGCATAATTATTGATTTCATATTGCAGGGGCAATCTGATTTGATGAAGTTCAAGAAAGGTTTGCCTGAGTATTTAGATCAAATGGACAAAATGTTTACTGGAAACACAGTAGATGGCTCCACATCTTTTGTTGCTGGTCAAAGTGGTACTATTGATTTGGATGGTGGAAGCTCCGATGAAGAGGTAGGAGATGTACAGGAAGACCAGCTGACCCCACTTAGCATTGGCAACAAGAGGGCCAGCAACATGAGCACCACTGCATCCAGCCCACGCAAGAGGTCCAAGAGCCCAGCACTGAGGGCAATGGACAACAACATGAGGACACACAATGAAATTGCCAACCGTAGGCTCTTTCTGATGGAGAGCATGTTTGAGCACAGGAAGCAAGAGGACCAGAATTCACGGTCGGCCCTTAGCCAGAAGATAGACAGGGTCACACAGATAGCAAAGGAGATGGGTATAAGTGCACAGACTCCAACATTGTTCAGGGGCATGTACAAGATCATCCACAATGAAAGTGATATGGACTTCTTCCTTGCCAACGGCCCTGAAGAAAGGATGATCATCATCGAGCAAGCTGCGCCGGTCGACCCATAGACCATCTTATCTTATTTCATCTATGATTTAAAGTTCATGTCGTAATGGTGTCCTCAAACAATGTCGGCCATGTCCTATGTCATATGAACTAAGTCTGTACTGCATGAATGTGTGTTTCAACTATGTTTTTGATGTTTCTTATTTCAACAACTAAAATGTAGTAATGTTTGCTGAACTTCAAGTATGGTGACCATTTGAACTATGTGATGCATGGGTGAGAGTGAATGGCAAATGTCAGTGAACGTAGGCATGCATGACATGATTTGTAATGTGATTCATGATTGACTGTACTCTTTGTTTGTTTGGACAGGTTGATGTTGTACCAGCAGCAGCAACCCATTATGTAGACCCTTGGGATGTTTTACAAGAGATGATGATGGCTGAGCTAGAGGATACTGAAGATGATGATGAAGCTTTTATCTATGGTATGTACCAGTATGCCCTGCACATTGACAAGCATTTGAATAGAGCTGAGTATAGGCAACCTGTCATGACTGGTTTGGAATGGGTACAGAGGAAGCTTGGGGATAGCAAGGCCTGTTTTAGCATGTTTAGAATGAGTCCACCTATGTTCCATACACTGCATGATCTTTTAGTACAATCATATGCCCTAAAATCTAGTGCTAAGTCCACCTCGGTTGAGGCTCTAGGGATGTTTCTTTGGATGCTTGGGGCACCACAATCTTTTAGGCAAGCTGAGGACAGATTTGAGAGGTCACTAGGGACTGTCTCCAACATGTTAAACAAAGTTTTGAAGTGTATGGTGAAGCTTGCTGCTGACATTATTAAGCCTCTCGACCCACAATTTAGAACAATGCATCCTAGACTGAGAAACCCTAGGTTCTATCCCTACTTCAAGGATTGCATAGGGGGTATAGATGGGACTCATGTACCTTGTGTGGTGCCCAATGATAAGTTTGTGTAGCACTTGTGCCGCAAGGGCATGACTACACAAAATGTCATGGCTGTCTGTGACTTTGACATGAGATTTATATTTGTTCTTGCTGGTTGGCCGGGGTCTGTACATGACATGAGAGTATTCAATGATGGAACAACAACATACATCCATGTCTTTCCACATCCACCTGCAGGTACACACCTATCTGATAGCACATTTGGGTCCTTGCTGTTCAACTACATGAATGTAATTTTTTTTTGCTGATGTAGGGAAATATTACCTTGTGGACTCCGGGTACCCTAACCGGCTAGGTTACCTTGCCCCTTACAAGGGAACTAAGTACCATCTGCAGGAGTATCGAGATGCCCCAGAACCCCAAGGTAAAGAGGAGACCTTCAATTATGCACATTCATGTCTTCGGAATGTCATTGAAAGGTCATTTGGAGTTTTGAAAATGAGGTGGCGCATCTTGCATCAGATCCCTTCTTATGCACCTCATAAACAAAGCCAAATCATAGTTGCATGTTGTGCTCTACATAATTTCATTAGGATAAGTGGCATAGGGGATAGACACTTTGCAAGGTGTGACCGTGATGATAACTATGTGCCGCGAGAAGCGTCTGAGAATCAGCCTGACTCCGAGGAAGTTGAGGATGAGTCTGATCTGATGAATGAATTTCGTGATTCGATTGCTTATGCTCTGCTAAACCGTTCGTGACAGTTTTGTGTGTTTGAGCTCATGTATGTGTATTGCATATGTACAGTTATGTCAGTACAGTTTTGTGGATGAATCATACATGATTATTTGTTAATTACATCTGTTGTGTCATTTTGATGAAACATGCATGCTGTTGCATGAGAGACAACAGCATGCATGCATTTGAAGCTTCAGAATGCATTGCCTGCATGCATGTGTTTGCATGTTGCATGGCATTAATGGTGCAACTGCCAGGTTTTCGGAATGGCATCCAAAAATTTTTGGCAACTAAACAGCAAACCTAAAAAATTTTGGATTTCAATTTTTTAGTAAAAACCTACTGCTGTCAGATTTTTGGCTTAGGCCAAAATTTTTTGGCATCTAAACGGGGCCATACACGTTGGAGCTACCTAAGGTTGTCTCTTCACCTTTCCCCACCCATCTTCCATCTTTTCTGTCCTTACAGCTAGCAGCAGGCGCTTCGTATACACGTTGCAGCTACCTAAGTTTGTCTCTTCACCTTTCACCACCCATCTTCCATCTTTTCTGTCCTTACAGCTAGCAGCAGGCGCTTCGTATACACGTTGCAGCTACCTAAGGTAGTCTCTTCACCTTTCTCCACCCATCTTTTCTCTAAACACGGTTTCAAATCTATTCCACCCCTCATTCCCTGTCCTAACTCTGATTCATGAACCAAACGTCGTCAGTGATCTCATTCGGGATGCAGGATATGATGATTTCTTAAACCAAACATCCCTAATTGATCAACATAAATGTTAGCCCT